TTTACATGCGGAACAACCTGCTCCCAGGGGCCGCGGGAAGCAACTTCGACTAAATTTTTTCACTTTACGCTTACTTCTAAAATTTTTCTTCTCTGCCCATCCTATTTGCCCACCCCACAAAACTCTACTACCACCGTTTTTGCAGGAAAAAAATGCTGGGACTAGGGGTATATGAGTGGGGCTACATAAGCTACTTTTGCCTTTCAAAGACCTATTAAATCACAAGGAGCAGGTCAGGCGCCCGAAGACCTAAAAATAAGGAACACAAAACAAGCAATTCCTGTGTGTTCAGATCACTACCTTTTGACTTCCGAAACGTTTACGCTAACGAAGTAGGACATTAAATGACCAACTGATGCCCTTGCGCTCACAACAAGGGCTATTTCATAGTGATCTGTGGTATCATTTATGCATGCAGAACTTTGTAAAAGCCTTAATTTCCCGGCTCATTCCAACCCTTTTACGTCTCAGCTCATGAAGCGTATAAAACATAACTTTATTGCGATTATACTGGACGCACATTCGGAACGTCTATACCATCAGGCCCGTGCCTTTTCCTTGAAGCTCAACATCCTTTGCAGATAGGACGGTCCGAGCCCTCTTGGAGGAAACTGCAATGCGTCTTATGAGGACGGTGGCTGACGCCAGCAGCTGACAAAAGCTCCCTTCTCCTCTGCGGCCAAAAGTACATTCTACCAAACAGCCCCTATGACCTGAGTGCCTGCCGAAAGCGCACACCTGCACAGCGCACAGCGCATACAACTAGGTCAACCGTCAGCGACGGGTCAGGCATTATTTACGTCAAGCAACTGTGTCACGTGACTGCGCTGGCGCGGCTTAAACATGTTCACGCGACAAATGCTTGCTGATATTCGAAAGGTAAGAAATGTCTATCCTCACTTCTGCAAATGTTCCCATATTTAACTTGAAACGTCTACTTGGCAAACAGATGTTTGCGACAATTCATCATCGGGCCAGCACAATTGCACGAATAATGAAAATAATACACTTAGACAGAGACTTTATACGCCGATGCATGAAGCAACAACAACGCAACAAGAAGGAACCAGATAGTTCCACTCAAACCCCGAAAACAAATACATGGCGGATCCTCCCTTATATAAAGAATGTGTCTGAACTGGTTGAAAGATACTTGCGGAAACAGCAAATAAAATTGGCGCGCAAACTGATGGCTACTTCATGCACCCGGCTAGTAGACCCTGGGGATA